ATTGCCCCCATTCTTACAAAAAGACTGCTGCAGGTGGTACCTCAGGCCCCCCTCCCCAATAGCCTTCTTTTAATTGATATTGGGCTATATTTTATAGTTTTAAGTGATGATGAATATTTTGGGGCTATAGTGAAAATGTTTTTTACTGTTGTTCTAGTTAACTGTATTTTATATAGAACTGTAAACATCATTGTTGCATGGTACCTTATTGTATAAACCAGCATAAGAATGCAATTTAAAATAATCAGCAAAAAATGAAATAACATTAAACCAAGATGACTGTTGAACATGGGAAAATAATTAAAATATCTCAAACAATGCCTACAAATATGATGATACAAGAGTATCATTTCCATCTTTATTGAAAAGAACTGGGCAACTTTAGAGTGCAAACTCTGACCAGATGTGAGGAAAAATGGTGTAAACCTGTCAAAGGCCAAGCACCTTCTAGATCTTCATCAGGAACGACTTAGGTTGGATTTTAATGGCTGAGGTTAGATACAAGATTTGAACAAATTTTAAAATTTTGAAGATAAATGATCTACTTGATTTATAAACTATTGATCATTGCATCTTTTCCAACCTGATGTCCATCAGATGTGCTAGAATTCCTCGCCAATATAGCCTATGCCTAAATACCCTGGAAGCTGTACTCATAACAGAGGAAGTCTGATGTACAGTATTAGGATCTGCACAGAAATTGAAATAAAAATATAAAAGTTTAACAGGATCACTGAGGCATTGTTCATATTAAAATATGGTTGCCATCATTCTGGAAATATCAGATCTCACAAATTTTGTTCCTTTCCAAAAAGATTCAGTGTTTGGTCTGTAACATTAAAATACTCACCATATACATTTTAAAGTCTTACAGAACCTTTGTAAGTAAAATAAATTTGGCAATGTAAGAACATCTACTTAACTGATTCTGAACAGTGTGTTCAAACTGGGGTGGTGAGGAAAAGGCATAGAATACACATGGCATTGGATGTTGCTTACGTTGATTGAGGGCCAGGACTGAGCGTGTTCAGCCCTGGAGTACGATGCATCAATCCGGTGCATGGAGGTGTCGGGAATGGGGAACCCTGCACAGAAAGAGGCGCAGCGGATACCCCCTGCTTCAGGACTGGGGGGGCTTGGGAGGGCCCAGTCGTCTTCATCCGAGGACTGCTTCTCAAAGCGCAAGTGCTCTTCAAAGGCGTCTCTGGCATAAACCTCGCAGTAGGGACGGTGCTTTGGTAAGGTGGATATTTCTGGCTGCAGCCAGAGAGAACGATTCTGTTGATACAGAGCAGCATCGCTCACCTCCGAGTAGCTTCGACGGCCTTGGAAGCTTGCTTTGATGTGGTGGCTGGAGGGCTTAGAATATCCCAGATCCATAATGTTTCTGTCAGCCCCTGGAGATCTGTGTTGTGAAGTGATGGCAGGGCATGAACAATTTTGGACTGGTGAGCAGCGCTGCTGCTGGGCAGGAGACTGGCTGGGTGGTGGAGCTGGTGAACGACGCTGGGAAGCAGGAGACTGGCAAGGAGGGGGAGCTGGGGAACGACGCTGATGTGCAGGGGATTGACAAGATGGGCCTGGGGATCGCCTTTGTAGGGCAGGAGACTGGCATTGAGGAGCCGAAGGTCTCCCTTGCTGAGCTGGAGATGTGCACTGAGGAGCTGGAGAGCAGCGTTGCTGGGCAGGAGAATGGCGCTGGGAATGGGGAGAATGCCGCTGACCTGGAACAAGTGAGAGAAGAGTATGCTAGGTGGGAGAAAGAATAGATGCTCTGAGGATGCAGGAGGCACACACAGCAATGGCTGACTGGCTTCCAAAAGATGCCAAGACAATTTCAAAAGCTCACCTGATCTATACCAGTCAAAGCTGTGATCCTATATAGTCATTACATTCTGGGTTGGTTCTACCCATTTCTTAATAGAAAATATGTTTTATAAACAGCAAAGGCTAAAGGGGTTTGCAAACTTTCTTGCTCATGACTGAAATTAGAATGATCATCAACTCATATTTATCAAAGCAGGTGGGATGGGGTGAAATACCGTCTGTCTCTGCAACATACAGCATCCTTTCCTCTGCACTTTTACAGGGTAGGTATTCTAAAATCCCACTAACCAAGTGCCCCTGCCCTGAGGATCTGGGGATATAGAAATAGTTTATCATGGGTTATTTTATTGTAACTATTATAGATATTTGGAATAGTTGTATCTTACCCCTGAGTTACATCAATACCCAGGAAGAGCAGATTAAGTGAATCTCTTTCTCCCAGATATGAAACTTTCTATCACCCATATAGTAGCTAAATGTTGTGATGCTGTAATGAAAATGAGTCAACAACTGATGCAAGTCTGAACATTGTTGCTTTCTCTTTTTAATTAGTTTTTATGTAATTTATTGATTGTTGATCAAAATAAAATTTCTTCATTGGTCTGTCTCTGAGACATGTAATTCTTGTTTATTGCAGCTATAATTTCTCAAGGTATTATTGCAGGATAGTGAAAACATAAGTGGTCTTGAGAACCACTCTGAACTAATTTCTGTAAACTTGGAGAATGGAATTCAATTTTATTTATTATGGGCTTTAAGAGTCAAAACAGATAAGTACAAATAAGCATATACAGCAATCCATCTTAAATCTTACTATGGATTCCCTGCCAAAGTCTTAATGCTAAATGACAAAACTTTGCAACACTGTAGTTTGTTTACAAGACCTTATTGGTGAGGAGAAAATGGAAAATAAATGTCAGTGAACCTGGATATAATAAATTCACACGAAATATTTAAAGAGTTTTCATCTGACAGACCAGGAAACGGATCATAGAGTTACAGTAAATAATTCAATGGAAAAGTTAGCCCACTGTGCAGAAGTAGAAGGGAAAAAAAGGTGAACTCCATTTGGAACTATTACAGCAGCTGAGCTGAATTGCCTATACTTTTCTTGTAGGTGAAACCCACAATGTTTGAGGCTTTCTAATTTAGAAAATAAGATAATCAAAATGTCTAAAGGGAGTTGTTGCTGTTGTTGTTGTTGTTGTTTCAGGGTGGAACCTGGCATGGTGTGAAATTCAAATACTTTTCCGCACAGCAAATGATTCAATGTTTTGTTTACAATAGGGAGGAAATCATAAAATGAAATGACTATAATTCATATAGGTTTAAATTGGGATTGGATGAGTTAATGAAGGATATCAAGGACATATTCTAATCTTGCAAAGCTTAATTTATGTTTTTATGGGCAAGAGAACTGGGTGGAAGGTTACTCTTTTCTCTTCCAGCTTTTTTTTTTTAATACCTCTTCACACATATGCCTGGCCTCACTTTAGCAGCTGCAAATTATCTGTGACCATAGTTTAATGTCCAATTTGCTGCAAGCTTTCTATACAGTCATTCCTTTATGCCCAAAGATCCATCCCTTGCCAAATGACAACTAAATCCTACTCATCTTCTTCCTTCTCCCTCCCCCACATTCCACTCACCACCATTCATGACCTGCTCCTGCATAAGAGTCCGAAGAATCTGATTTTGAAGAGAACTCAGGTTTCTCAGGCGGCACAGCTCCTCGGTCAGCTCTGTGTAGGCAAGGGCCAAGTTGACTCTAACAAAAGAGAAAAATGGGCAAAGCCCCAAAACATGTAAGTAATGGATATTTTGAGTATGTAAAGTGATTTCACCCAGCTGTTCTTTTCTTTTGCTGCAACTTTTCTGGGTCATTGTTGATGGAAAAAGCCATAAAACCTTCCTTTGGAGCTGAGGACCCCAGTTCCAGCTACAACTGTCATAAGCAAACTAGCTTTTCTTGCACTGGATTAGTCCACTAGAACCTGGCCATACTCTTGATACTATCTCATCCTTCCATTTCATTACTGATAAGAAAGAAAGGTTGATCCAACCATGCACATAGGACACTATTTGACCTCATCACACTGCAGCATACTTCAGACATTTATTTAGGCAGTGGCCATTTCTGCATTCCTTCAAAAAGGGTTTCTGTGCACGTGGATCTCCAGAAGAAATCATATTTCTGTGCAAAGTCAGCTGTGGAGGCATAATTTGTCAGATCTTGCCATATCCCATAGGAAAGGCAAGTTGTAAGTTCAAGTTGTAAGTTCGAGGAGGCCTTGAGCTCCAGGGGTTTGTATCTGGTGGCAGTATGGAGCAATGGCAGTATCAGCAATGGGTAATGCATTTAGCTATCAGTTATATTCCCCACAATACCCCAGAGTGACATATGTCAAGAGCATTGTGGGAAATCAAATGGGGCTAGCCCCAACATCATAAATAAATAAATGGAGAGACCTGGGACGTGTCAGTGGAGGCTCCTGTTGGGTTTTCCAAGGATGCTGGATGCTTTACAACCCCAACCCTGCATCACAAAACCAACTGCTCTTATTACACTGATGTGGAAACTAGCTTAGTTACACCATTTCAGTAGTGCAAAATTAAGAATTGGCAAGTTTATGGTTATATTGTGGCACTCTGCCTAATTTCCTATGCCCTCTGCAAGGGAAACTCCCTTTCTTGAAAACCTATTGCTCAGGAAAAAGATCAGAGATGAAAGAAAATGATCTGTCATGAAAACCTGATATAAGCTTGTGAATCCCCTTTGTAATTTAATGTATTAGGAGCTTTTCACAGTAGAGGGTGACTGCAGAGATCATTCCCAGCTCTGTCTCAAATACCAAATAAAGGAGGAAGTGGCGAGGGGGGGGGGGAGATTAGCATGGAGCAGTGGATTTAATTGGCCTAAATGTCATCTTACAACTCCCCTGTCTTCAGAGGCCCTAGGAATGCCTAAGAAATAGGGCAGTAGCCCAAGTTTGCCATTTAGGTGCCCTTCTTCAAATAAAGAATATAAAAATATGGCTTAGCTTTTATTTTGCAGGTGGATGGGGCTTCTCCTCCTTGGTTGTTGAGAATGAAGTCAGGGATAACCCATACTATATCCTTCCAAATTTGGTTAACATCTAGATGTATCAGAATTGCAACTTCCAGAATTGGGGGTCAGTGGGGAGAGTAGGGAGGCACCAGGTTGGGAAAGGCTATTGTGGGGTTTCTGGCGTCCCAAGACTATCTTAGCACCTCCAAAGTGAATCTTAGCAGTAGGGACAATTCTCATACCTGCCCCCGCTTCCAGGCTTAAAGCTAGAGAGGGAAACAAAAGCCTGAAATTTCACTTCAGAGATACAACTTTAGCAAGGATAATCAATGTAAATGTTTTGTAATTCCTCATGCCCTTGTCCTGCCTGATTTTTACAAGAATGTTTTTACAAGAATATATACAGGTAGTCCTTGCTTACCGACCACTTGTTCAGCAACCAAAGTTGGTGGTGCTAAAAAAGGAGACTTATGACTGGTCCTTGAAGTTGCAGCTGTCACAGCATCCCCATGGTCACGTGATCATGATTTGGGCACTTGGCAACCGTAATGCATTTATGATGGTTGCAGCTTCCCTCAGTCACAGGATTGCCATTTGCGACCTTCACAGACGGCTTCTGACAAGCAAAGTCAACGGGGGAGCCGCAGAAGTCGCAAGTCACAATCATGTGGCATTGTGCTTAATGACCATGGGTGATTCGCTAATGATTGCAGCTGGAACTGCTGTCATAAGTTGGGTGTGGTCATGCGATTTTTCACTTTATGACCACATTGGCCCTCTCTGGGGCTGCTTTTGGCTTTTTTTTTGGTTTTGTTTTTTTCACAGCATGAAGCCCAGCCTCAGCCCAGCCCAGCAGCCAGGCTGGGCACACCTCATCAGCAGCAGGAGCAAGAAGACAGCAAAGGTTAACTGGGGTGGCAGAGCACAGGATGGCAGAGGGCCAAAGGGGCATAGAAGGGGGGGAAAGAGGTGGATGGGGGGAACTGAAGCACCCCTGTGGACTTAAGTGCGGGCAGGCTGCCAAGCATCTGAATTTTGATTATGTGACCATGGGGGTGCTTCAACAGCCATAACAAATAAATAAATAAATTCCAAGTATTATGTAATATTGCTATATAAAGCTTCTTTTAATGCACCTTTTGTGATACTTCAAAATATGGCTTTGATTCAGAAGTAATAAATTATCCTAGATGGAAGATCAATCAATATAACTTCTAACTTACTGCATACAGGCATTATAGCTTGGTTGCACAGCAACTGCTTTGAAAGTCCCGGTATCTTAAAGTGTTCTTAAGCAACATTATCTGAAATACCTCTGCTTAGAGACCTAAGAGTTACTGTCTGTCAGAGCAACTATACGGGACCAGTAGCCTCCTTTGGTACATATTTGTTCAAAAGCGTTTACAGTAGTCTAAGAATAAGTTTTATCACTACCTCATCTCCCATTTGTATCAACTAGATCATATGTGGTTGTTTTTTTACATAAATATCATCTGATAACTTCATGTGGAAAGAACCACATATTTTGGCCCACCCAGTAGTTCCTTCCTTTTTATTACTGGATCACTGTAGGACATGGCTGCAAGGAAGTATTTCCTACAATACTGCAATAAAGTCACAAACCACTTTGTCACTTTTGGCTATAGAGGGCCTTAGAGGAGTAGTGCAGAGATACCCTTGTCACAAAATTCATGGATGGTCTGCCATTACTGGTAAGACATTCTAACAATGTTTTGGACCAAAACTGCAGGGTTGGATCCAGAGATCCCTGGGTGCAAAGAAAGCAGGCACAGGATCATACAGTGTTGTTAAAAATGTAGCTCTTATAGTTTTCCAATGCTTTTCCATTTGAACATAGAGAGATTTGTCACCAACCAACTCTTCAGTGTACTGGAGGGTGTAAAAAAAAAAAAAGGATTACTCAGTTCTGCCAAAAGTATTATTGTTGTTGTTACTGATAATATATTGCTCACGTATAAAATAAAACAATCTTCTCAGAGGGTATAATGGTTTCTCCAGTATTTGGCAGGTTTTATTGAGAGGTTAAGATGAAATTAAACGGCTGCAAATATGGAGTCCTTGGGGTTCTCTGAGCTTGGTTGTTTTCTTGCAAA